CACTCCGATCTGATTTGTTATAAATAATTGAGTCGGTAAAATATTTTTATGACATATTATTTGTCACTAAAATAAATAAATTTATAATAAAAAAGTAATCAAATTCAAAACATAAAAAAGTTGAAAAAATTATAATTATTAAACATGTTTAAGAATTAGAAAATTTGAAAAAAAAAAAAAAGTTGATTTCAACCAATTCTTTAAAAATCGACCCGGAAAAGGAAGACGGTCAAGGGTCAAAAAGTCGAACCGATTGTCAAATTAAATAAATAATTATACACATAAATGTAAAATATTATAAAACACAATAGATTTTTTAAATTTTAGTTTGGAAATTTAAAGTAAATAAATATCTATATTTTTCTTAATTAAATTTATTATTGTAATTTATTTTACAACTTTAAAAACTAATAATTAATATATAACAAATAATTTTATTTGTTAATTGAAATAATGAAATAAAATATTTATATTTAGAATTGAAACTCAATTTTACCTTATCCCACATCGAATGTCAATAGAAAACTAGAAGAGAATCTCTCCTTTAAAAATGAACATCATGATGGTAGAAGTCACTATTGGGCTTGTTAGTAAAAACAAGTAGGCCTCAAGTTAGTTCAAAATTTTTTAAAGAACATTATTTTTTTCCTAATTTTTATTAATTTCGGATCAGATATCCGATAACATAACAAATCGGATATAGATTTAACTATCAAATAGCCGTTGGATTATCGGATCGGATATAGGCAAATCTGATCCATTTACCGCCCTATCTGCGTCTTGAAGGGCCAAGGCGTAGACCCCAAGATTAATCGCCGAAGGCGGACACCTGGGTATCAAAAAAAATTACAATTAAAAAGTCAGATTCAATTACGTACACAATTTGATGTCTCTTTAAATGAAACTGTATATTACTTGGTCTCGACGTTGAATTCATAAAAGGTTACATAGGCGGCGATGATGAGAATTTCTTCGGCAAATGGATCGATTAGCTGAAGCACCATCAAATTTCTCGGTGAGGTTTTGATGTAAGACCGACAACAACCAATGGTGGATCGACGAGAAACAAAGATTTCTTTGGAAGAGAGGGGAAAATATGGAGAGTTAGACTTCTAGGGTTTCTTTCTTGGAATGGAAGAGAGTTCAAAGTCAATGGAATGGTAAATAGAGAGGGAATAGATATTTTGTCTCATGTACAACGGGAAGGAGACAGAAAACGCAAAATGAGAGAAGTAGGGATTTTCTCATTAAAAAAAGTGACTAGATGTGAAAAATGTAATAAATGTGGACAGTGCAAACCAGTTTAACAACAATAGAAAGAAGAAAACTCAAAACCAGTTCCAGTGTGAAAATCAGGGTGACAAAAATGAACAGTGACTGAGATTGCCTCTTTTAAGAGTCACTAGTTTTTGACCCGTGCAATGCACGGATTGTATTATTTTGAAGGTTATTTTAGCGTCTTGAATGCTAAGAATTGATAGAAGCTTGTATTAGTCCCCTCTTTGACAACTTAAACGTTTAGATGGTGGTTCGACATATATTTCCTCATGACAAGAAATACTTTTCCACTGTCAAGAAGATGAGAGTAGGGTCTCACTGAGAAATATGAAACACACAAATTGACAATAGGCCTTTAAGTATCAAAATATGATAAACATTAAGAGGCTTAGCTAGGTATAAATCGAGTCGGTAACCCTGTATATCTTGACAATTTTCCACTTCGTTGATGTGCTTATAATTTCATTTTCAATTTATAGAGGCTCCCACCAGCCTGAATCTTGTGTTTCCTTGATATCTTCAGCCATGCTTTCACTTGTAGTTAGCTGAACCCCACGTTTTAGAGACATTTTGGCAATTTTACTTCTTTCCCATAACTTTATCATGGCTGCAGCTAATCCTTGGTGCTGCCTGCTTCTGTCTGGAGACGTCAATCATCAATAAAATAACAATATTTCTTGTTATCGAAAACAAGCTAAGTCTTATGCTAGTAGCTATCATTTCTAATCAAATGTCATATGTACAAGAAGTGCATACCAAATGAAAAATTTGGTGGCAGAACTCTGGCAAGTCTCCGCAAAGAGGTCGCCTCCTTTGTTCCTAGGGTTGATCTCACACCGTAAGGAAGTAATCTGAAGAGAGGCTGATAACCAGGGATGACTCCTGGGAGGAAATCTGCATCTACAGGAAGTGGACTATCTCCAGGCCAATCTGTACACCTTTGCTTTGTCTGATTCATATAGAGAGAATAAATGCTCACCATTTTTTTTATCACGTTCTTCACGTATCTTGAGGTTAACTAACCCGTGAAGTAGTATTAGATCAAACAGAAGAATTGGCAATGGAAGGACAAAAAAGTGCATGCACGTATGTAAACCCCCTCTTCATGAGGCAAAACGTTCTACACAATTGGTTGAACCACCTCTTTGTGAATCTAAAATGGAGAAAAGATTCAAAGTTAAATGCTTGCTTTAGTTTTCCCATTATCTCACACAAATCCACTTTATAAAATGAAAGGTCATTGAAATTTAAAAACTGTACCTGAAACTTATCCACGAGTTTGAAGAACCTCTTCCACAAGTAGTGCAGCATCTTCCTCGCACATCTGAAATGGAGAAGTCATTCGAAGTTAAATGTATGCTGTAGTTTTCTCGTAAATAAAAAAACTAAATTATGTAATAAAAGATGATAAAGTCTCAAGTACGCTTCAGAAGACCACTATTGCTAAACTCTCTTTCCCTTGGTTAGTACTGCACATATGGGACGATTTTCAGAAATGTCAAGTGCAAAAAACCATTCACTACCTTAGGTGCCTCATAGATTATGTCTTTTGCATATCTCCATGAGCAAGCAAAAGATCTTATGCTTATACGTATGTATATATCCTTTCTTGCGTGAAGCAATTCCAATGAAGTACACTTGAATTGACTTTGAACAAAGAACTATTTACATCTTCATAGCTAAAAGAGTTGCTTTTGAATGGGTTAACTTCAAAGGTGTTTGGAGTAGTTGTGAAATGTTACCCATTGGCTCATAAAGAACACAGGCTTGTTTGGAGGATCCAAGCCTAAGCAATTAAACTACATATCGTGTCAAAGAAGTTCAGACACAATGCACGTTTTAAATTTACTACAACATGAACCTTCGGCCTAGATAGTTTGCCAACCATTACCTTATTCTCAAACCTACCTAGATTTCAGTAATCATCGTTTGTTTATTTTGAAAAGTCACATCAAGGTGTATCAAGTAAATGGAAAATTTCGTATCAATAAAAAAAAATAAAAATGAAACATGAATGAGGTAAGAACACAAGAAGCCATACCGAAAACATGACAAAGCATATCGCCAAGTTTCCCTTGTGGAATCCTTAAGCTGGATGTAATCCTCAGCTCTCGCTCTTTCTCTTTTCTTCTCTAAAGCAAGGGACAGCTTCTATTTCACACATTTTACAAATGTCAATCTATATTTTACTCGCAAATGGCATTGACACTCGAAAAAAAACGACCAATAAGAGGTTGGCGTATAGACCTTGTGCAAATGAATGTTGTGAACAATTGAACTGAATAATTAATTAACTAATGTATGATCAGTACAAAACAGCAGTAACCCAGAAGAAAGAACGTTGCCAACTTGTACAATGCGATGAAAGAATTGACTATAATGCAGCTTGCTGCGGAGGTTGCAATGATGATTATGTAGAGGCAAGTGTTGATGGTGGAAGTATCTGTTTAAGTTACCTCAACAGATTGACATTAGACTAATAGTTTGCTCTGTAGCAAGATCTTTACATGTACATAGAACCTGTATCGAAAGAAAAAGTTGATAGTCAAATTGCAGCCTCTACTAACAATACACAATTTCTTTTGGGGCAAGCGTTCAAAGATAGGAGAATTCTCTAAACACGCAAGGCCAAAAATAAAACGATCACACTTTCAGAGCATATTCATGTTTATTAATGTCCAAAGATCCCCTAGTCAAATGGAGGCTAATTAGATTGTAATACTCTCTTTGGTATATCACACCACAATAGAATGCACACTAAGTTATTATGTGGTCATGATAACACAAAGAGCAAAGCAAACACTAAAAATATAAACATAGAAGAAATAGAAAAAACATATAGACGTTAAAATAAAATAAATGTAAAGCATTTTCAACTGTTGAAGAAACTACTACAGAAATTTGAAGAGTGAAATTGCAAATAGTAATTTATTAAGATAGTTATTAAATAGTAAAATGAATAAAAATTCACAATTGGAAATGTAGTTCCAAAGGTGGACATTTGACATGTGCATAAGCATGAAGGATAATTGATTTTATATGTTACCTTTCTGTTTGTAAGTGTAGGAGTTTCTTCATCTGTGTTGTTGAGTACGAATCCAATGTCAGCTGTTTTTTGCACGAATATGATTATCCATTAGTATCTGATTCAACGAGAATGTAGAAAGTATTCATTATAACAAATATCTACTGCAATCTTTCATCTGTATATAGTCATTTTGTCTGTAGAAACTGATGCTATTGGATATCCTAGAATGAAGCATTCTATGTATTTGAGCAAAAAAATTGTACAGTTTGGCCAATAAAATAAATAGTTTTTATGTTAGATTATATTGGTACCATAAATGTAAAATTAAATTAAATAGAAAATGAAATAGTATAGTAAACAGTAAATAGTTTAAATACTTACCCATTATTTGCACAAGGTAGGTAAGGTATGATGTCAAACTCCATTTATTTCTATTTTTCCTTATATCTCGTCTGATGGAGGAAAACTTTGAAGATATTAACAATGTTTGAACTAAATTGACTACTGCATTTGTATGTGCCTTGACCTGTTGTGATGTATGAACATTGTGGCTACAATCGTATATTTGGAATTTCCATTCGAGAATATTAACAAGAGATACCAACAGTTGCTTGGATACGAACATGAAATTAATAGATAATTGCATCTTATCCATGGACGATCAGCTATTGGCAAATTACCATTTATGTACTCTCCTAAAATAGTTAAAACTAGTGAATATGTATTGGCACTCCCTTTTCGTATGCTTATTTGCCACATCATTTGGCGAGTACATTCGTTTTCAAATTTGAAGTCTAGGATTGCATATTCTTTTGAAACAAGGGTGCAACCGTTGTTAATTGGCCGCCTCAATAGTTTTAATTTCAGGTCAAGATTCTAATAGAATATAATAAATAGATGTAAATTAAATATATTAACTATGAAATAAAATTTATTATGATGACTAAATCTTACTAACCGCAGTATTGATATTCTGTGTTGTGTTCATTATAGCTTTTATTATGTCTCTTCTGTACAAATTGTCAGTTCCATCATCCCAATATGCACTACATAACATAATTTAACTTAAATTAGTTTGAAATAAATCAAATTAAAATTATAATATTCAAGCTAATAAAGTAGAATTAGATTGGTTAGCTTGATGGATTTTTTACTACCCGATCTCTAATTATTGTGTATCTGTCCATATGATAGTCTTCTAAAGGATAACCTATTGATGTTGTTGAAAACTGTATCTTTTTTCCTTTAACTTTTTCTCCTTGTCAATTTTTGAACATTTTCAATTTGTTGAGATGTTGAGACATGCTTTGGAACTTGACTCTTATGGACATGAATATCTTGTTGGAGGAAAGCTATAACAACTTCCATGTTTGATTTCGTGTCAGATAATTTGTTCAGTATATTGCTATTTTATTCATAATATAAGATTTTACTAAACTTAAACTTGTATTTACATAATTTTGCGTGCTAGATTGCATATCTTGATAGTGTTCTGCCTGCCACTGTTGTTGTTGTTAGAAGCATTATTTTTGGTTTTCAGAAGTGTTTGGTAATTGACTTCTTTTTTTTTTTTGCGATTCTTCAGCAATGCGTGCGCTAAAGAAATTATCGCACAAATTTGAATATGCACATGTTGCATGCTGATTGTATGTGTTAACAGTGGTCTTGTTGCCACTTCTGATGTTGTTCAAACCATAGTTATAAAATCCAGCCTGGACCGATCGATCGGGCCGGAAATTCGGTGACCTAGGCCCTTGTTCGGGCCGAGTAGATTAATTTAATAGGAATGCACATGACTCGATAAAAAATCAACTTTGACTGAGTTAATCGACGATTTTGACTTTTTTTTCTTTTGTCAACTTTTGAACATCTTCAATTGTCAAGATGTTGAGGCATACTTTGGAACTTGACTCCTATAAACATGAATATCTTATTGGAGGGAAGATATAACAGCTTCGACGTTTGATTTCCCATCAGATAATTTGTTCAGCATATTGCTATTTTGTTCATAATATAAGATCTTACTGAACTTAAACTGGTATTCACATAATTTTGCATGCTAGATTGCATGCCTTGGTAGTGTTCTTCCTGCTACTGTTGTTGTTGTTAGAAGCATTGTTTCTGGTTGTCAGAAGTGCTTGGTAATTGACTTCTTTTTTTTTTTTTTGCGATTTTTCAGCAATGCGTGCGCTAAAGAAATTATCGCACAAATTTGAAATATCCACAGCTTACATGCTAGATTGTGTGTGTTGATAGTGGTCTTGTTGCCACTTCCGATGTTGTTCAAACCATAGTTATAAAATAAGGCCCGAACCGTTCGATCGAGCAGGAAAGTCGGTGACCTAGGCCTTTGTCCGAGCCAGGTAGATTAATTTAGTAGGAATGCACAGGACTCGATAAAAAATCAGCTTTGACCGAGTTAATCGATGACTTAGTTAACCCGACCAATTAACCGATTTTCAAAATTGCCTTTTAGAATATTCAGGGTCCAAGGAATTGAACATCTAGGGGTCCGTTTGATTGCAATGGTGGAAAATGAGTGGAAATCAAATGAATTACATGGAAAGTAATTTCTTAGAAATTGTTTTACAGAGAATTGTTAATTAATTGTGTTTAATTGATATAATTTTTTGGGGGAAAAATTTTTAAATTTTGTGTCCGTTTGACTTAGTTTTATATAGAAATTGTCCATTAAAGTGATATTTCTTTCCACAATTGGTTATAAAATTTGTATCCATTGCCAAAAAGTAAAAAAAAAAATGAATTTTTTTTCTAAAAAAATCATTTTTTTAATCAAAGTTTAGTATTCGTTTGACTTTGTTTTACATGAAAATTGTCTATTAAAGTGAAAAAAAACTTTATAACAAGTTATGAAATTTGTTTTTTCATTGGCAAAAAAAAAAAAAATGACAGCAGCCACCTGGAAAAGCTTTTCCCACCCCTAAAAACAAGGA